CGCTTTGGCCTCCAACCTAGCGCTTTCGGCTTCCAAGAGACCTAAAAACCTCCAACGACGACGCAACTGGCCTTCAATCGTTCCTTCTCGCTCCGCCGACGCTCGGCCTGAAACACGTCTGTCGGAGTGGGTGGTGCAAAACGGCGGATTTGTAGGCAAAACAACCTTGGGGATCTGTGTTCATGTGTTTGCCAGCCTGAGTCTATTTGTTGGAACTTGAGACCATCTGTCTCCCCAAGGTCTAGTTTTGTCTGCACGCGTATGTAGAGATCTACTCTACAGGCCCTAGTCGATAGCTGCCAAGAAGAGGTTCCGTTTGATAGTTCTTGTGGCGCCATTTGTGGTGATAGTGATAGGTGCTTGAATGATCAAGAGGAAGGAGGGTATGGCGAAGTGCTTGCGGCCTCATTTGAACAGGACCCGTAGGGGTGCAAAATGTGAAGCTGCTTCTTAGGTCTTAGGGTTCAAAAATACCAATGCCAGCGAGGACAAAGGACAAGTGACAACATGACACATTGGAAGATGGTCGATTGGTGGCCAAATTCGTGCCAGTGATTGATGTAGAGTTTACTCACTCCTGGTGCTTTTGCTGGACCTGTTTGGAAAGCACTAAATAAATAGACCACGAGAAACTGTTAAACACTCTTTTTCGCCCTCTGCGCCTGGAGCGAGGCCAGCTCTGCAGCTCTCAAGGCTTCCGCCAGCTGCCTCGCATCCCAAGAATGGTTGCTCAACCACACGCGATCTCACATTTGACATGCACAAAACTGGTTGAGTCACCCTGACCCTTCCATTGCCAACTGATGCTCGGCACCGCTGCGGGCGCTCCCGTCGGCCTCTGCTGCTGCTTCTTCTCCCGCAGCCGGCGCTTCGCCAAGAAGCCACGCGCGAAGCGTTGGATTTGCACCGCGGCCAAGTCCTCCCCCGCGGGCAAAAGGAAGGATATTTTTTCAACAAGGGGTGGTCCAATAGTTTTCTAAACATTGGGCACTACAGTGAGTTTGATCACTTTCTGGAAGGTGTTCCAATCTTATTCTTTACCATAAGAGTGTTTTTGATCTTTCAATATGTTTGCCTTTACCTCCGCAGTTTCAACCCCCCACCCCTCCTGAGGTGTCGGCGCTGCGGGGGCGACCGGCGCTGCTTTCGCCTTGCCCTTGGCGACGCCTGAGGCGACGACCGGAGATGGAAGACAACGTTCTGTGTTCTAGAATTCAAATGAACAAATGAATGTAGATAAATTCTAAATGGAAAAGTTCTTTGCTTCAACGAATTCTAAATGCATGCTTCTTTCTTCAATTGTTTTCTTCAATCCTTTACAGTCCTGCATAGTCCTGCCAATCTGCTCCATTCAGCTATCGTACCAGTCTGGATGCAAGCAAATATATAGTTTAAATATTAACCAGGAATTCACTGTGCGAGTGCTGATGGACACTCGGAGCAGGGGTTCAAGAAACCCTTTCTTCCCCACGATTCCACCGTGAGTGAGCAGGGCTTGACCTGGCTCGACCCTGAATGCAAAAAACATCATGCTCAAACGAAAACAACTCTTCAAAGCCTCATCAACTTAGTCTTTGTTCCGTCCCCCAGAGTTGAACTTGTTTTGAAAGCTTTGATGGACAATTCGACAAAAACCAGGCAGAAACACCGGATAGCAGCTTTTTGAATAGGATAACTCACGAGCCGTACCTATGCTCTCGCTCGCTCTCTGCGGTCAAAAAAAGTTTTCTTTTCCAAAAAATCCAACGTTGCAGAGATGCAGTGTGTAGTTCAACTGAATGTTGAATTTATGTTGTTCCATGTTTTATTTTTAAAGTATTTTTTATCTTTTCAATTTGCGAACCATCGAATTTTGGCACAAACTAAAGGTGTTGTGAGTCCGTGGGCTAGTGCGCCCCATCCACAGTCCCAGGCCTCCACCTGCTCGTGCCTTTGGTACTTTTGGTGCACCTGTGGGGGGTGCTGGAGAAGCACCCCTTAAGACGAGATACAGCAAGACTGCGAGAGCAAAAGCGGTGGTTTGAAGTGTCATGAAGTGTTTTCAGCGCCAAACTGCGCTTGTTAACCACAGCTACCGACTCGATGCAATTCAAGGTGAAACAATTGGATTCCAAGGCACCACGTGTTGAGCTTCCGATGTGGGCTCTGAGTTGATCCCTCATCTATAGCTATCATCCCCCCCTCTCTCTCTCTCCCTCTCTCTGTCTGTCTCTGTCTCAGACAGTCTTCAAATTTCCCTTCACATTCCAAATCAGCCGGAGCATGTGCGATGAATGCCGACCTTCACCAAGACCCTGCATGGGATCCTCTGAGGGGTTGCCATCTGTGAAGTCAACGCTTCAACACGACGTCACATGACTACGACAGGTTGATGCTCATCAGGTGATGGTTTTCCAACTGAACTGGCTAGCATAGCAGCCAAACTAGGCAGAAAACAAAATTCTTATATGTAGCCCACTATGTAGCCCCTATCATTAGCGGGTGAACAAGAACTCCCTGAGACGTTGAGATGATTTCAGATGATTTGGGATCTTGTTCCCTTTCGATCTCTGACTGAAATGCTGTGAAGTTCTTTCATTCAACATGTCCCCCCAACTTTGCCTGTGCGGCGGCCATCGTCAAAGGAGGGGGCTCAAGGCTTTTATTGCAACACATCCTAACCACCTCAGCATCTATCTGCTAGCAAGAAGCTACTAGTAACAAGTGCATCGCTACTAGTAACAAGTGCCTTACTAGTAGTAACAAGGACGCTAGTAGAAACAAGTGCCTCGCTACTAGGAGCAAGTGCCTTACTAGCTGTGATCCGCTCTACACAAACCATCTTTTCACCGGCCTGTGCCCTTCTTCGCTTTGGGCGCCATGGCAGTTCACATCGACGGCTTTGCTCTCATTGAGTTTGGAGTTGGAAACTAGGTTTGGGGGAGAAGGGGACACTCAGTCTATTCCTGCAACCGCGCTGGTTGCAAGCCTGGCAGTCGAAACAAAATAAGCACCAGGAACGATAGTGTTGATTTCCCGCTTGCGCTTCAAGGCATCTCTTTTTGTGTCAAGCAGAGATAAGCACACACACACACTGAGATTGGTTGCTCAACTGAATGAGCATTTCTTCAGAGACTGGATCGCCGACGCATTAGCCCTTTACTTTATGTTGCTGCATTAGATGAGTGCATTAGAACTTTCCTGCAAAGCACCGAATTAAACAGCTTTGTCCCTACGTAGGTTCAGTAACAAACGTAAGAATCGCTCTATAGGTAGTAGGCTTTAGAATCCAGATGCAGGTACACATTCAGGCGCAACAGAACTCCGGTGAAGTTCATTCTGCAGTCTGTATCTCTCTGAATCCATGCCATGCTGTCGTAGCTATGTTGGTGTCTTCTGCGGCTTCCGTAACAAGGCAACACCAGCAGCTTTGGCTGGCGGGGCCAAGAGCTGCGGCTCACATCTTCAGGAGAACGCTGAAACCAAAGTGAGATGATGCATGGGGTGGCAAAATGCAGCGCATGTGTGTCAGTTCATCTCAAGTTTTTTCAGGGGTCTTGGATAGATACGTTTTGCAACAAAAACACACCATCTGCTCAGAGTACCTGAGAGTAGCTGATTGCTGACTTAAGTGCTACATGCTTCTGTGGCTCTGGAATCTGCAGGTTGCTCAAAGATTACAGGGTGCCTCGGGTACCTAATCCCACAGCTAGAAGCAGCTGGAATTGCAAAAAACAACTACCCAATGGTGATGAATGCAACACGACTCTGACGACAATTGTTTGCATCTTTTCTTCAACTCCATCTTCCGCGGCAAAGAGACAAGGGTCCCTCCCGCCAATCGATGAAAGGGAAGTGATTCTGGACAGTTGGTTCGGGCTGCAGAATCAGGACGATCTGGAACGCCTCAGGTATTTCGTAACTCCGTCGGCAGCAAGACCTTTCCACCAACGGTGTCCACATCCTCTGTACAACTGAGAGATCAAAGGGCTCAGTTGCTGCACCTCTGAATGGGATTCGATCCGAGCTGCGATCCAAATCGGCTCCTTTGTGGAAACTCTTCAGTTTGGGGCGGTTAGAGGCGACCTCTCAGAATACTCCAAGGGTTTTTGCTGAAGGCAATTTCAGTCATCGAATGATAGGTCAACAGTAGTGTCAACAGTTTATCTTGTTTATCCTCCCACTACATCCCACTACTAGTTTGGACCTGGAAGAACAAACATTTGAATCTTCTCAGGGGTTCTGGAATGCATTCAGGAACAGCGGAAAACAGGGTTTTCGTGAGCATGTTCCTTTTCTAATCTCCCTTGACTCAAACATCGAACATCGAACTGCCAAACGAGAGTTGGGAACTGAGGATATGCTGCATATGGTCCTTTCACATTCGTCAGCCAATGGTGTGCCAAGATCCACCGGACACATCAAGTCCTTTGAGAGCAATTCTTTTTTTTGGTTGCAGCCTAACTAGCCGCCAGGTAGGCCCGCAGATCCGCTCAAATCCGCCAGGACGATCTCCGTTTGAATTCAGCCCATGTTCGGAAGATTTCTGCGGCAGGACGCCAGTGACTGGTCTTAAACACCGTACAACTACCCATTCTGTCCAAAGTCGAGTATTCAAGCACCAGGTGCCTCCGTACACACGTGTACAGTATTGTGCAGTATTGTACCTATATATACAGGAAGTTAGCTTTTAAAGGTGCTTCACCAATGTGCGAAACAAAATATCCAAAAGCTTTCTTGGACCTCTTGGAATCGAAGCGACCTCCAGCTACACCTCCCCACCGATCCAAGGAGACTGGCACTCCTGACCACCAAACCGCGGCCTATCACAGGCCGGCATGCAGGAATGGGCATTGGATTCCGGATTTCTTCGGAGTGAGTGTTCTTCGCAGTTTCAACCTGTTCAACCTAAAATTGTTTTCAGAACTTTCTACATTGTTCAGTCACTGTTCTGAATTTCCGTCCTTTTCAGAACTGAATTGGTGCAATCAACCGTTCTTGAATTGGTTCTACATTCTTCCATCCAGTTCAAACCATCTATTTCACTCTACAAGAAATTCCGTCGGACACCGCAGCTGATTTTCAGAGTCTTTGCGCTTCACGAGAGAACTCGACTTCGACATCTCACTCCGACCCCAGGGATGGCAACGCTGCGTTCACCACCTGGCCACGGCGTGCGGTCGCGTTTCACCCGGCTTTTCCAAAGGGTTCCGGGTACCATGAGGCTTCCCGGCTCTTTTCTTTGGAAGCTTTCTGGCAACTGCATGCTTCCGGGTCCAACTGAAAAGAAACATGATCTGGATCATATTATTGATAGTTTCAGGAAACATCAAGACCAAAAGCTAATCCAAGACAGCGCAACCTTTGGCAGTTTGTGGTTAGCTTTTCTGTCCATGGTTCAAACCTGTTCAAAATGGTGTCAGACTGGGATGGGACCCAAAACCGCCACCGATCCCAGTCGACCGAACGTGAGCCATGGAGGAAAGCCGACACCGGGCACCCTGAGGGAAAACGGGTCCATGGGTGTCGTGCACTAGGGGTGAAAAGTAGAAGCAAAATCAACCGCTCAACCATCCTGCGCTTTTGAAGGATTTCAGGGCCCATGGCGCCTGTCCCTCTCCACGCCTATGACGGATGAGCAGTCTGGTAAATTTCGTGAAACACCCAATTCATCAGCGTGTGGCTCTTCAAAGGAGCAGTAGTGCGAAGGCGCTGCCGGATAGAAGCCATTCGGATGAGGGTGAGTCAGCTCATCCGCCCAAGTGTTCAGGTCACGTTTCACATGAGATGGGGCCAATTGGCAACCTCCTTGGTGCAAGGAGAGGACAAGCTGCATTTTCGCTGTCGGCATTTTCCGAGTGGATTGATTCAACATCGCAAAGATATTGCCCTGGTTGTCCGAGATCAACGGTAGGAAGTGCTGGTCCTCATCATCCTGCAGGAACCGGTGCAATCCTCCGGCAGTGCGATGCCCATCTTGCCGAGCTTTTTGTGCAGCTTGTAGGCCTTCGCATCCGAGACTTGGGAGATCAGGGAATTCAGGACCAAACCAAATTCCCTTCGGGAATCCTGTAAAGAAAAGCGTTGTAGGAAGCAGTACCAATACACAGCAACAGGCAAAAGGTACACCACCAACACCCAGAGGTGTATGTGGATATATTATATCTATCTCTTTTTGTGGATCATTCATTGAAACAGCCTTGTCGTGCTGAATTCAAACAGCAACAGAGTAATGTGAAAGCATGCGTGCAACAAAAAGTTTGTTGGGTGCCTTTTCCTTCCTATTTTGCTTTGACCTGATCGGCCTGTGAAGAAATAGAGTTGTAACCATTCATCTTGGACAGGCCAAGTTCGGGATTCCCCCAACAGTGGATTCCCAAAAGCTCCAACAAAAATCCCAACAAACCAAGCGAGCCGATCTGCTGGGCCGCAAGCAACGCAAGGGGCCACGGTGGGTTCGACGCCTCGGCGGGACCGAGCCGAGAGTGGAATCGGGGAGCCGCACCAAGAGAACTCCGACGCATTTCGGAAGACTGGCTTGCACTAGGACAGAATCAGTCCGAAAACAGGCTCCTTCCTCCTTCCTCCACACGAGTCGATCCATCGCCGAACCATCTCCGGTGGCCCGGGTCCGCCTCCTCCAGGAACTCCATGCCGCGGTTGCCCCTCCGTTGGTTGCAAATGAAGATATATGGGGCTGTTTCAACAGGGCCTCCTGCTGAGCCTGGGCCTTGGCCACGAAGGTCTCCAGCACTCGCTCCACCAAGTCGCCCGTCTTGAAGCCACCCAGCTTAGTCAGCTCATTGATGGTGCATTGAGGGGCACCATGGTGTTGGAGCCCGGCATGAAGTCCTTCCATTGGACAAAGGCTTCCCCATCCACCGGGACCTCCTTGGAAGTTTCAGAGCAGGTGGCGTCTGCTTCCAAACGGGCCCCATGCCTGGGCTGTCCGCACCTTTGCGCTGGTTCCGCCGGGGCCGCCGAGGATAGAGGGGTCACCGGGTCGATGTCCATGGGCGTCGGTGCCGCATCCACCGCAGCCTCAGCAGGAGTAGAAGTGCTCGAAGTCCCAGCAGCCGCCGCCGCAGCAGGTGTAGAAGAGCTCGAGGTCACAGCAGCGAGCCTCACCCAGGGACGTTTCAGAGCCAGTGGCGTCTGCACCCCCAGGCAGGGAAAGCCGGAGCTGGCCCATGGCCTCATCCATCTCCTTCATCTTAGCCTGCAGGGCATCTTGAGTAAGCAACTCACACTTGACATAGTGCGAGTCCTCCTGGGTGTCCGGAGCTGAAGGATCAGAGGAGGAGCCTGCCAACGCGTCAGCGGCACGGCCAGCCCCTTCCAAGATTGTCTGCTCAAAGTCCCGTTCCTCCGCCTCAGTGGGGTCGAGGGCAAACGAGGTCACCGAGGGGGCCTCCTCCAAAAGGTCCCACTCGAAAATTCCAGAGCCAGAGGCGGACATGGCAACACCGGAATAGAATGAGGGGAGGACAAAAGTGCTTTTCACTTTGAGATCGCAGGCTTGAGCAAAAATGGCATGGCATTTTGGCTAGTGAAATGTATTCCAGAAACATAACCTGCTTTCCACAGGTTCCAAGCACGTACTAATTAATTGAGCATGTAATGTGTTTACATACGACTAAACCATGTGGGATTTGCATGGGAGCTCGTTCGCCCATTAAGAGCTGGTTCACTCCTTCAAACCACCTAACCACCTAACACAAGCAGCTTGGTTTTTTCGTGACACATCCAGCTTAACTTTGTAACCGCAAGGAGCCCACCAGCGCAAGCTGCTGGCAACCAAAAACCCGTTCACTTGATCTTTGACTCCGGTCTCCGGTCTGTCCTCGCCTTCTGCCACACTTCCCCGGGGAGGCCCAGCTTTTCGCCTCGTGAGGCGGGTCGCACGAGGGCACGGTGGAAGCACGGCACAAGCTCCTTTGGCTCTTGAGCCCTGGGAAGGAGTGCCAAAAGGGTGGCGCCGAGCTGTTGATAGATCCGTAGTAAGTCAGCACAGGCTCACGCACCTAGCAAATCCTAGCGATTTCAGAGTAGATGGCACAGTCCACCTCAAAAGGATCAAAGAAGTGCTTGATATGAGGAGCCATCGAAAACTCCTGTAGGGCTGTGTGCCATTTCCAATGAGACTGTAGACTGAATGTCCCTTAGCCCACAGCACATCCAAAGAATCATGATTAGTAGACGCATGAGTGATGAATCCTTGCCGGTGAGGCTAAGGACATCCAAGGACACGTCCAACCAATAGGCCCTTCGACATCTTTGACGCGGTGAGATGCTGTGAGATTCACGCGCAGTAGGTCACATCTTCGCGGGAAGAACAATGAACGTCAGCTAAGAGGAAAAAACACCATGTTTCGGAGGGTGGAAGCCCCAAAAACAGTCTCCGTTGTGGGTTCAATGAGTGCCAGTACTTACTCCCACCACAGCTGCTGCGCTGCCCTACTTGTGACCATCGAAACACACCCAAGAGGTTCCTTGCATCCAATGATCTCTGCTACAACGTATGACATCCTATGACCATCCCAACCTCCCTCAAGATTCAAAGACACTTGTGTGTATCCTCATTCTTTAAGATCTATCATGATCTATCCACGAACCCCACCATACCCCAAACCACCTCCCCCCCTCCCCCTGCAGCCCCCGCCCCGCGGGAGGCGCCTAGGTGTCCCATCTGCCGCTGCGCGCGGCCCACGTGGCGCCGCAGCGCGCCAAAGGCGCTGGCGATGCACACGACGTCGTGGCCGAGGCCCAGATGCTGCTGCAGGTGGAGGAAATGAAGGCCTCGTTTCGCTCGCACGAGCGAAACGAGGAATGCGATAGGAAGCGCGTTCCGAGGATATGCGCACTCATATGGGCACGGAGGTGTGCATATTTTTGGCCCATGCTGTTCAGGTTGGTGGCTGAAGGCGGGTAGCCTCCCACGAACTTCACCATCATCCCATGAAAACGTCTCAAAGCCCTGGCTGTGCCATTCACTTGCTGATCAAGATTGCTGTGCATACTGATGGGAGAGTTGCGCTCCGAGTGACGGAATTTTGACGTCAGTCAACTCAGTTAGGGAAGTGATGGGAAGTGCTTTGTAGGGTTTTTTGGATCACTGGTTGACAAGCTTTCAGGAGTTTTCTCTGGGTGGCCTAATGGCCGGTCAACTGGGCTCTACAATGATTTGTTGACATGTGGCAGTACCAAAAGTGTCAATTTGAAGAGTCTCTACACTCTCCACACCTCTTAATTACAAAGCCAAAAGAGAACGAAGACTTCCAGTGCCTTTCGCCGCCCCGCATGTGAAACCCCCACCCGTCCGGCGCCTGGGTCAGTCAGTGTTTCGGTTTCGTCCGACGCCGGGGCTACTCGGTGCCCACGCTGGCGGTGTGCAGGTCATCCTGGCATCGAGCACCAGGAGAGCGACAAGGAGCGGCGGAAGCGCAGTGGAATGAAGGATACACACCATGGTTCAGCTCTCAAACGGGGAATAAGCACGAGTTCTTTTTTGCATCTGGCCTGGCTGGTGGTGACTTCCTTCTGGCAAAATCTTCCAACGGGTCATAACATGTCATGCCCTTGAAGAAGAAGCCCAACCGCCATGAAGAAGTCCAGGTCGGTTGTCATGCCCCTCCGCTTTGAAGAAGTCCAGGTTACTGGAACGATCTCTCTTTCCATACCTGTCCTACTCCTTGCCATCTTGTGACGCCAACGAATTGCCCCCTGAATAGAGGCTTGCCTCCTGAAATAACCACCATTCCACCACCCCCTGTATATCATCATGCCTTTTTTTCTCGCTGCCATGCTCTTCGGCTGAACTGAACTGATTTCATTCATTTTGGAATATTTTTGATCCCAGTACACGGAACCCGAACATCCCGAACCCAGTCCTCTGCCGCCTCAGTGCGCTTCGCACGCACATGGCGTCCACGCTCCTTCTCCCTGGCGACATGGGAACTGAACACCTCCACCCCAACTCAAACCGCTGAAATAGCTTTCGACTTCACCCAGGAACTACTCCACCAACTTCCTCATCTTGCTTTAGCATCCAACGAGAAACTGACCACATGTGCTGTGGCCTTTGAATCTCTTCGCACTTCTTCTTGGCAATGGACAGGTCCTCCTCTGCTTCCAAGAGCCTCCGAACATGCGACGGGAAGTGAAAAAACACAGAACTGGTTGTGTGATGTTTTGAGATAAAATGTTTATGATAAACTTTCATGTTTGACCAGTCTTCTGTTCACTGACTCTCACAATTTCAAGGACAGCTAGCTGTGCTGTATTTTTCCCGACATCAAGCAAACTGATGGCTTGGAAAACACCTGCGCGTCCTCTTCCATCCACCGAAGTATTGTATTAACTGCTATATATACCCCTCACGTTTCATGGCTCAAATCTCCAATGGTAATTTCAATGGAGTTTCGTCATACACAGTCTTACCAAGAGTTCTTATCAAGGTCGAACTACCGTCTACCATCTCTTGGCAAGGCTGCACCACCAATGCCCTGCCATCGCCTCCACCAAAGGTTTGTGCATTCATCCCAGGCATTTAGCGCCATGCCAAGCAGGGCGCGCAGCACTCGGCATCCAGCAGCACAGCAGCGGCCAGGTCAAACGTGTTGTGTTACCCAAGTCACTACCCGATGTCTTTTCATGTCTTCTCGCATGACCTGATCATTTGAATGCCTGCGGTGTGACATCACGTTCATTCTAAAGGAAGGGTTGGTGTTGATCTTGTGGTGCTGTTTCTTGTTGTGTTCCCCTCCAACGTCAGACACCTATTCAAACAAACACACGCATCAAAGCAAGGTAAGCAAGGGAACAAGACAGTGCTTTGTGGTGGTCTCTCACCATCACCAGCTCTTTCTTGATGTTCTTGCTGAGCCAACGCTGAAGGGATCGATGGGGCAAGTCTCGCTCAGGAGCTCCAAGTCTCCACAAACATACAAAATCGCTCCACAAGTGGCGCTTTTTTTCGTCCACATGAGGGCCAAAGAGTCTTGCGACGCACCTTCCGACCGAGTAAAACGCAGAGTAAACCGTGAAACACAATGGCCAAAGAGTCTTGCGACGCACCTTCCAAACTTGTTCCGCAGAGTAAAAGCATGAAACCAACTCTCCCAACTTCTTCAGCAGGAGCGCCATCTGGGTGACCTCAATCCGACTACGGATGACTCCAGTGTTTCTATGGCTGTACCCGACCAGTCCTGCACTCTTCCACTCTAAGACCGTGGGTCATGGGACGGACCCGGGCGGGCCGGACCCCGGGTGTCAACCTACCACGGTTTGGAGGGAGGTGCCATGACTCATGATTAGTCATATACTGGAACACTCGTTTTTTGCGCCTCGTTGGGTGCCCATCTGTGCCAAAGAACACGCTGGAACCGACACTATGAACCAAGCAAACATGTGATTTCCTCTGTCTTTCCTCCTCTGGTGTGCCTCTTCACCCATGCCTCCCACATGGCCGAACCAAATGGTCCGAATGGTCGAACCGAAACAAATTGACCCTGAACACGCGGCTTCGACATGAAAGAAACTGACAGTTGGACATGATGATGCAGCACAAAGACACCTACCACGACAAAGACACCATGTTTTACACGGAGCGGAGCGCCAGCTGTTTCAGGCGCCAGCTGTGGGGGAAGTCTTTGCCCCCGTCCGATTCCCGGTGGCATTGGCGACGGCGTTGGGAAACCGTTGGACAAGGGTCCATGGGCGGTGCATGCTCGCCCAGAGGCTCGTCTGGGCGTCTCCGGGTGTTGTTCTGCTTGGGTTTCCTTTCAATAGGTCTCATAACTTCACTTTTTTTGGGGCCCCATACGATCAAGACATATCCATCGGTGTTTGATGCAGGTCTTCTCACTCCCAAGGCACCAACGAAACGAAGGGATTTGGCGTTTTTCGCCGTTTTGGATGCGTCGTCTCACCAGCGGCTCATCCGCGACCTCACCGCTGCGGTGATGGGAGTGGATTTTCGTTTCATCACCGGTGTTGGGGATGTGTGATCCATTGGAATATGTGGCCTACCAAAGTCAATTGAGGATCATAGTTCCGATACTTAAGGGAAGAGGCCAGCTTCTAACCCTGCATGTTTGTGGACAAACCTCTACATCCTTACATCCTCACCTCGACTCAAGGCAAACATCTGGTCAACTTCAAACCATTGTCCGACATGCATTGCCAAGCTTGCTGCGAGGGCAAGTTCTGGCAAATCTCCATCAGGTTGTACCTTAGATGCTGGATCAAACTGGCAAAATAGAGGTTGCATATATGATTCAATCAGCCACGTAGGACTCTCCCACAACTTGCTCCCACGAAGGCTTCAATGTACTCTACTCTACCCCTAAGGTAGATGTGGGTACCACGTCCTCTCTTTGCACCAACTCATCTACTGTGCAAGTACAGCATACAAACTTGATGTCAAACCAAGCAGCCAAACGAACAAACTCTCTTTCATATCTAATTATCCTCTTTCCCCTCTTTCAAAAAAACCGAGCTATGCCGAAAGCTATCCACTACAGCCCCATCAAACTGCAAGGTTCTCCGGAGCCAAACACCTGGGCATCTTGGGCAAACCACTGCCCCCCTCTCACATCGCTCCGGTTGGGGTGGTTGGCCTGGCTCTTCTCACATCGCACGGTGCTTTCCCGGTCGGCCCACCAAGCGAGGTGCCGGTCTCTTCCACGGGCCACCAACTCGCCCGGTTGGAAGCGTTCAGGCGACCCGCTCGGCAGCGCCGCCGCTGCTCGGGGAATGACCGCCTGCCGTGGGGTTCAGAGCGGAGGTGATGGTTCAGCTCACTGCATTCGGAAGGATGTGGGAGCTTAGCCGCCCTCACTCCTCACCGTTTTAGGAAAGACACATGATTGATAACATCGATTTGCTTATCCTCTTCATCTTACAGCACCCACCAATTGCCCATGAGCATATAATAGAACACAAAGCTTTGGGCCAACAATGCACCCCAAAAAGTGGAAGTGACCCCAAGACCTCACAGGCCCCCAGGATCCAAAATGGCGAATGGAGGGTATTTGCGTGGGCAGGGTGTTCGTCCAAATTTCTGGGGGTTCCCATGTCGGAGAGTTTACCATACAGCTCACCCCTTTCAACACCCGTTCGGGTGTCTCATCCGAGAACACCACACATTTAGAATAATACATGACTACTTGCAACATCCAAAAGACTTCGAGACTCTTCAAAGTCTTCAACAACAAACCGTGACCCAACCAAACGAATGAACCCACCCAAAGAAACCTCAATCACGCCACCATCAACCTATATATAGTCCCAAAACAAACCAAACATAACAAAATAACCACCTGTGTGAACATCTCAACCTGCTCGTGGTTCCCACCTGCTCACCATCCCCAGAAGCCCTGGAAGCCCCTCGAAAGCTCGGAACCGGCCGTCCCGGTCACGTCGCCTCGGTCACCGGCTCCGTCACGAGGCCTTCGGGCGGCGGAGCAGGGGACGGACCGCGACCGAGACCACGGCGTCCACGGGGACCTCAACCCTTTGAAGATGGTCACATGAGACTATATGGACTATAGTCCAAAAGAACCTGCAGGACTATATGGACTTGAAGATGGTCACATGAGATGTCGGAGAACCAACGGCATGGCATCCCAACGGCATGAGTCTCCGGCCGTAGCTCATGGACCGCAGCCTCGGTGGCCTCGGGCGTTCGTTCGGGCGTCGCGAAGCAACGCGGGTATTTTGAGGAGGGCCAGGCGTTGCCCTGAATGGCCCTGAAGCCAGTTGTGTGGGTATGGTTGACTGGTGCTGGGTCCTCCTGATGCTTCCCAATCCCATCCCCTTCAACCGGGAAGGAGTAGGCAGCCCGAGGCCTCATGTGCAGCCGGACACTTTTTGTGTGTTCGTCCCGTCTATCGTCTCAGAGTCCCCAATGGTCCAAAATAGCTGGGATTTGCTTCAGGAACAGGAAAACAAATAGAACATGTATTGAATTGCCAAGAAGGTGATTTACTCACTAAAAGGGAAAATAAAGGATCACTATTAAGCAAAACCAGGATACCGTTCACAGGTCAGAATAGTAACCATGGTATCAAGAACATTAGAATGCTCATTTGGTGCGGGCTCCCAAGAACAGAATACCGCACCAAGCGTCATGGCTCCCAGGTCTTTAGGCTGACCTGTGAGCTGCACTTAATACGCTTGGAGCGGCTTGGAGCGGCTTGCGTCAGCCAACACATGCGGGTTCTGGGAGCCCCTGCGTCGGATAGCCTGGACCTGGGCGATTCGATGGCCGTCAATGTACGAAGACCTAATCATATGCTCCACAGCGTGGATATGATGATGTACCCCCAAAACAAAAGACGACCCCTATACATACCCCTATTTTTACTCAAAGGCTCAAAGGACTACTCTGCAGCTCAAAGCCATATTAAGGTCACAAATAAGGTCATCCATCATTGCAAAAGCGAACCGTCGTTTTGAGACGGACCCCCCTTCTAGGTGTCAGGATCCCCTTAAGCTTCCCCACTTCAAGCCACCTTCCTGTTAATCACCTCTCTTTAAGCCTCCCTTCGATTGGAACCACCCCAAACGCCCAACACCCCCTTCAAGCCCGTCCGCGGCCCGCTCCCCTCCTTCCTCGTCCTCCGAATCGGACGTCGGCCGTCGCCCTACCATCCGCTTCCATCCTTTCCGCCCAGTGGCTGACGGAACGGTTGGGCTCTCTCTTCCAGAAGTTGAAGGGTGAAGACACCGCCCGAATCCGAGCCGTGTCGGCCAAGGCCGTGCCTAGGTGGAGAGGCGTGGCGCGCGGCGCGTGGCGCGGCGTTGGGACGCTTCCGGAGTTTTCCTAGTGGGGATTGTCCGCCATCCGGACTTCGGAGCTCAATCCCATGCTGTTTACTCTTGGTTTTTGTGGGGCTCAACAAGGCTTCATGGATGCTTCTTGTCAAAGTCCTCCAAAACATCGTGGCTGGCCGTGCTTGTCAACTGTTGACTTTAACCCGGTTCTTACATTCTTCAGAACCACTCATCTATTTCCACAGCTGAAAGCGCCAAGGACCTTCAACCACTGTCTGCCCAAGAGGCCACCCAACAAATAACCTTCAATCAGCAAACACTTATGTACTTGAACAACTTTGGAATCTACAGCCCCTTTCAAACTAAAACAACATGGTCAAACAAAGCAGAATTCCGGCATTTTCGCGGAAAACACTGCTCCCCTCTTCTGCCAACCTCATGCTCCCCCACTTCATTCCGCGCCGCCACTGGGCCGTCCGTGCTGGGCACCTCCCGCGAGAGGACGGAGTCCCAACCTGCCGAAGCGGCACGGCAGGGCAGTCAAGAGCCGTGGCATGGTTCTCATCTGACCTGGTTGGTTGTTTGGCAAACGCATCTGACCTCGTGGTGATAACATCCGACTGAGCTGCTACAACAACTAGACGACTTAGTTTTGTTGGAGCTTCTCGTTGATGTGGGCGGCCACACCAAAAGCCGCCAAGTCTGACACACTGGCTCCGGACAGTCCGGCCGTTTAGACGTCAACCCAACCGACCGAGAACCCCCAACGACCGAGCGTCGGTGGCGGTTCCACCGACGCTCGTCTCCGGACTTCCTGAGCCGCGCCTGGGCTGTGTCGCCACGGAGAGCCCGGTGCATCTGGCAGCGGCTGGAGGATCTGTAGAAGGCTCTTTACGGAAACAACAAGTCTACATATGTCAACATATGGAAAACATGACAGATCATGGAAGTGAAAAAAGCTCTGGGGGAAATTAATGTATAAATAAATTATCATAAGCTTTGATCAAGGCTCTTCATCTTCATGCACTGCTTTGTTGAATCAACTCTGTAAGCTGAATCAAGAAAGGCTTTTCCTGTAGATTCTCCGGTAGACCAATCGGAGGAGTAGGACGCCCCATTCCCACTGGCTGGTAGGGCTGGTGCCATCAGTTAAAGCAGCTAGGCTTTGTTGGCGCGACCAGCTGTGCTAGCTGTAATTTTTGAGAGGACATCAGGACCGACTCTGACGCATTTTTCTACCGACCCCTCTGAAATGGCCAGGGACCTCGCAGTGACACTGCCGTCCGAATTTGCCCCCGATAGCCGTATAACCCTTTGCGGTGATCGTTAAACAAATACATATATGTGATCGTTCAGGTCCTTCGTAAAAATATTAATTGGTCCAAAGATGCACAATATAAATCCATCACCCACGAACTTGTGCATCCTTGGACCTGTAAGTTTTACAAAGAAGGTCCACACTTGCGTCTTGTGCACACATACGAACTTACGTCCAAAGACGATGGCCGTGAGTTTGGGACCTGCGGTCGACGACGACCTTCGTCGCTTGACCGGGCGGCTCGTCCCGCCTGGACTGGGCGACCAGACGTCGATCCTGGCGAGTGCCACTGGTGCCACGACCCACTACTGGTGAACATCCTTTTCAAAGAGAAGGCACGGGGAGTTCTTGGAGTTCTGAAGGGAACATCACCACTACCATGGCTGTAGGGCTGTGATGTTTAACACTCAACAAAGCCTATCTTTTGGATCTTTTCTGATTCAGGGGAAAGGTTCAGGGAAGGAATTATGAGGAATCACCAATCCCATGGCCGTGATGCTGTGATGCTTAAGTATTTCAGACTTTGGATCTCTTTCGGTAGCATTGGCCACGATGACCTTGCTCTCGGGTTCTTGTTGGGAATGTGGAATGGTCTTGAAGACATAGTACTGCTCGAGGGTCTGAACTAACACTCGTGTCATGAGAGATGCACCTTGTGTTGTACTTGTCGCGTTGAGAGCACACCCACTCTCAAGCGCCGTCTAATCTCTTGTTCACCACAGCTGAATTTGGATTTTGCTCCAGCAAGGCTAGTATTGACAATGTTGAGTTTGACATTTATGAAAGAAAACCAACACATATTTAAATCATCGCATTTCCTAAGATGCCTTTATCCATTTCAACCTACCTTTTTTTATCAGGGGGTCTGATGGTGGGTTGGTTGCTATGATCCTATGATGGATGATAGGAAGAATGAATAAGGACCACCTTGTTCATCAGGACTGTGCCAATGTTATTGGTACTGATGATATCTCCCTTTTTGGAATGATCCTATGCCTGACAGTAGCTGTTGGTAAAATGATTGCGATATCAACAACTGACCTAGGGGGGCAGAATGGCGAATGCACGATGAACAAACTGTGTGCTGGCGACTTTACGCCCAAGGTAGGTAGATACCGTCGACGTCGAAACCTGCTGTCGCAGCAGGCTGCTGAACACCGAAACCGCAACAGCCAGATCGCGCCCTGCCTGGGATCCGAGAGAGGGCGAGGAGGACCAACTGGCATGAAGCCGTACCTTGGCAGACTGGGATGAGGGGAAGACCAGCCAGTTCCAAGGTCTCAGCCAAGAATGAGGGGTTACTTATTTTGGGGGGATGGATCGTAGGTATTTTGCTCAAGCCTCCACGGGGCGTACCTGCTACCCTCTTCGTGAGGGTACGGATTGAGCGATGCCATGGGGGAAATGCCCTACGTCTGGGGTGATTCCTTTGCAGGCCTACCCGGCGTCCAAATTCAGTGAGAAGGATGAATTGGTAACTGGAGTGATTGTGCAGCGGTTGCTATGGACACCCCATGCGGCTTTCACGGAATTTTGGCCAGAGGGACGGGACCAACCGGTGATCCTTAAGGTGCCAACTGTGTTGAGCTCATACCTTCGATGGAATGAGACCATCTTCCTCAAAAAGGTTCAATGTGTGTGGGGATGTTCATTTGCTCTAGTCACACCAGAAAAGTCCATGCATGCTCTGCCTAGTACACGAGAGTGGAACTGGTGGAGGGTGCCCACCCCATGTGATGATGGACAACCACATTGCTTGTGTGAACCGACGTCTAAGACAGATGACAAGTCGGAAGGATGGTTGTGGCAACTCTGCTGTGAGTGGAGCATGTTGCTACTCCAGATGGTTGTGAAAGCCATGTTGCCTTGGAGCTACCGAAAATTCGAGGCAAGCAAGAGAGCAAGCGATGTTCGTAGGCCTAGGGGTAGGGGTGTCAGGAAGCGGTCTAGGATTGCAAGGAACCTGGATCGACGAGACTTAATGATGAGCTGGTTGGGACAGCTAGGCAGCTTCATGATGGTGATCCTGCATGCTTTGAGTAAGGTATCAAGCCGATCTTTTTGTATGCTTTTGTTCGCTTCATTGTGGATGCCAGGCAATACTGTGAGATTTGCACACAATGAACCTCCAGGGATACAGACGTGTTCAGATGACGACATTATGAATGGCAGGCAGAATATGACATTGATGTGGGGTGGGTTTCTCTGCCTTATGGTCCTAGGTGTTTGTGTGCTAAGTGGATGGCATTGCACTGGTAAGAGACAGATTTACACCACTGGTTTGATTAATGCTACGCAATACAAGAATCTGCCAATGGATAAGGACTTTGTGCCGTGTGTTGACAATCCAGATGATCTCACAGGCTGTCTGCTCGAAAGGTCTGCCCGAGAAGTGCCATGTAATTCCAGGGCTGTTTCATGCCAAACACTGTCATCTCTCCATGTTCAGGTGGGGGTGTCCCAGACACCAGGTCTTGTCGTCCATGCGCCAATTGCTCAGGAAGGCATGAGGTTTCGACACAGTTTTGATGCAGCGTGTGAAGCCAATGGATGTGTGACTCCCAATCCAGACATGCTTGGCAACCAGATGCATACCTCACTATACCAGGATCCTGACTCTCAGGATGAACAAGGGATTTTTGTTTCACCGTATACGGGTCATTGCCCTTCGTGGTCCGACCAAGATGACCAATTGGAGTGTGTTGACTCAATTCGATTGCATTTCCATGCGCTGAGCTCTGATGCTTTCGTCCCAGTATATACACATCTAAGCATGCTTGTGGATGAACTTACATTTCATTTCATTCATTTCATTCGCGTCCGTTCGGAAGCCAGTTGGCTTGTGGAGGTCAGCGGCTAAAGCCAAAAGCTAAATTAAGCTCAGCGCGTCAGCGGAACAGAGCGTTGCGAAGCTCCCGTACTGTACAGTGCCGAACTGTCAGATCGCCATTTATTGTTGCCACTTCCGGGCAAAACGGGATCCGAGCACGATGCAAACCATCCAGGCCTTTCTGTGGGCCGCGATAGGGCGGCCGGGACGGCCGCTCATTGTGGACCTGCCATGCTTTTTGAATCATGACGGCCCAATCATGCAACTGAACAAGAGTCCTACCCTGCGGTTCAGACATCAGGCAAGTCCTCCACCAATGCATGCCCTTCTCATCAAGGTCACTCTGCGTGCCCCACAGGAAGACCATGCCGAGCAAAATGCCCATGTCAACATCTTCCCATTGCTGGTAGAAGGTCTGCACTGCAATTCCAGTGGCAGCAGCCTGAGCGCATTCTTCCCCGATAGCTTGTAAGAAGTCAGGGTCCGGATGGAAGGAGACCCCAGATCTCTCAAGCTCCTCCTTGAGGTCGAGAAAGTTCTGCTCCAAAGTGGTGACATCATCAACGGTGGCTCCAAAAACCCGAGGTCCATAGAGCTGCACTGCCTCCACTCTGCATGCCCCTTTCAGGGCCACAAAAGGATCTGCGGGGAGGTCCTCACGCGCTTCTTCGCTCACCCCAAAGGTTTGCAGCCAAGAGGCACAAATGTTGCCAATGCCCTTCCGGGAGACATACCTCAAGTGGATTCGAAGGCGATTCTTCGTCCAGTAGTGCTTAAGGCAGACTGGACAGGTTGCCCCGTGAAGGTATCCCGAGATGGGCGTGCGCCATGAGTGAGCTGTCGTCTGATGCATTCGCAGCGCTTTCAAAGAGGCAAAACCTTGCCCGCAATGGCATCTGCAGTGCACCTTCATCCAAAGATCCTGAAGAGTTTCCTCTTCTTCACCACGCTCCACAGGCGTAGTGTGCAAAAGATGCATGGTACACCGGTATTTTTGCACTGCTGTACGCAGCACATGTTGCCAGCCTGGCTTCTGATGCTGCCAAGCCTCCCATAGCTCCGGCAAAGTAGTCCCCCATTTCGAGAGATCCACCATGGCATGAAGCCAACCAAGGTCCTCCGTCATCATGCCTCGCCAGCTTTGCGCCATCTCAGCCTCTTCCCGAAGCAGCTCCTCGTGCACAAAGGATGGTGCAAAGCGAGCCACCCGTGCAGCTAGAAGAAATCGTTGTTGCGAGATCCGCAGCATAATCGGTGCACATCCCGTTCGCTGCAAGATGGCCAAGTCACTAAGAACCTCGGCATCATGAGTTTTCACCTGTCCCAGAGTCCGCCTAAGCAAACCCAAGTAGCAGACCGAAAGTTTGTGCTCATCCGCTAGAGTCAGGCCGTTCCAACTGCCACATCCATAAAGCAGCTTAGTGAAAACCAATGTCTCCAGCAGGAAGATGCGCGTGGATTCCTTGAGAGCCTTGTTCAAAAAGACTGGCCGAGCAAGTTGCCGAAATGCACCCCATGCCTGTCCTACTCTGCGCTTGACCTCAAGGTGGAGACGTCCGGCCGCGGCCATGGTAGTCCCCAAATGCGTATATGCGTTCCCCAAGACAAGGCACATGGTAGATGACGATGTTCCCACCTGCACAGTCATCTGGGGCTCTCTTCGGAGTCGTTCTCGGAAGGCACGGGCTTCTGGGCCTGCATAAGTCACTAAGACTTCTGTTTTGCCCCTGCTCATATTGAGCGTCATGCCATATTCATGGAAAGTATCAAAGACAACACCGAAGGCATACCTGATCTCTGCTTCCATTTCAGCGTTGCTCATAGCAAGGAGGGGTACGGCTAAGTCATCTGCCCATACCACTTGTACCGCTTGACTGCCAAGGATTTCTCGGGCGTGACGCTGATGGGGCCGGGCCTGCAGGTGAGTTTCAATCTTGGCAACAATGGGGCTCATCAAGCAATGGAACAAAGCATCCGCCAAAGGACTCCCTGGTCTTGAGCCTCTTGCGGTGCGCACGCCTCTACCATGAATGGTGGACCATGTGTAGCCGTGCAGTTCGCGCATGAGTGCTTTCAAGGGCCCTTCAGGAAGAACTCCATGAGAGTGCGTCATCTTGTGTATGAGGTCATCTTCGAAACCTTCCTTCTTCAAAGTTTCTTGGAGCGCCATCAGGTCCACATGTCCGCCAAGCCCCTTCCCTAAGACCAGCTCCCTCACCAGGGAGTGAAATGCCGCCCTCAGGTCAACAAAGAGGATGGCGCTGGGAAGCTTAGCCTGGTATGCGCGCCTCATCAAAGTGCGTACATAAAGGCTTCCAAAGAGGCACTCTTGATGTGGAAATCCTCCGAGTTGCCCAGGTGGTGACTGTTCTGAAACTTGAGCCATGAGGGCATCACGGAATAGGGCATGAATCCGGCGGACGAGGACTCCAAGAAGCATCACCCCTCTGAATTGCGAAGGTTCTGTGGGCTGGATTACCTTTGGCAGCATGTAGAGGGTGCCGCCTTTCCATTGAATGGGCTCGTTCATGGTGTACATCATCTTCAACACAGCGTCGTACACCCATGTGCCCATTGCCCCGGCTGCACAATGAAGCCACGTCGACTCCATGCCATCTGGTCCGCAAGCCTTCCCAGGTTTGGTGCGCCTGAGGGAGACTTCTATTGCTGTGAGAGTCGGGAGGTCCGCGAAGTGATGCGCACAATTCTCTTCTTCTTCCTGTGGCTTCGTGAGCACCTCCTTATAGAGTTCCCTCAATTGGGTTGGTGTGCCAGCCTCCAGCAAGCAGAGATGGGGTTCCCATTGTTCCCGCATCGATTCTTGTTGCTGTGCACTACGAACTTCTCGTCTCATCTGCATCTTAGGGAGATACATCTTGACCTTCTGCCACAGCTCACGAGTGCTTCCACTGCAATCAACTTCGCCCCAACTCTGCTTCAGCTGATCGAAGAAGTGGTTGGCATCTCTCCTCAAAAGAGTTGTGGTCTGGTTTCTCATGTGGCGAAAGTGCTTCATTGCATGAGCCCAATGCCTTCCCATAAGGCGTTCAAAATCAGCCAGCCATTCCCAAGAGGGGGACTGGGTAGATTGTGCCCATGCACGAAAGCATGTCCTCAGGGAATGTTGCTTCATCCAAGTTTGCAGCTGTAACATGATCTTCCGCCAGGCCGCCTTCACAGTGATAGCATCCTTGGTGTCTGCAGCAAGATAGGGCTTGCGGTGAAAGCGCCCCCTCAAAGGAAGGACAGTCTGTATGCCTTGGTTGAAGCGCTTCACGAGCTCATGTGCATGTTGGTGCATGTCCAGGTTCCATGGTATCGGAGCCATAGTGTCAACAACCTGGCGCATCACAAATGGCCCATGAAGGGCGTCCAATTTCTCTCTGGGTGGTGCTCGTCGACTCCG